AAGAAAAATCAAGAACCAAGAGGAAAATGAGAAAGCATGGAAAGTTCTATGCAGTTATTTATCCTTGATGAAATAAGAAGATTGGATAATTTCAACAGAAGGGGTGGCAAAACCTGCCCTGGGAGAAGGCCCGCCTAATATGCATGACAGGAAAGGACAACTTATGCAAAAGCAGAGTGGTCAGTATTAGTCAGAGAATCAGGATGGTCAACTAAGCCACTGAACCTCCCATGCCTGCCTCCATACCTCTTCCAGGTAAAGCTCTTAAAAGTGAAGCCAAAAAGCTGCAAGAAGGTAAGGCAGCCAAAAGAAATCATACCCTTTCTTCACTCCAGGTCCCTCCAGTGACTACAACCTGAGCTAAGTAGGCCACAGTGTCAAGCTTTGCTGTTGGGAGGACTGACCAGTCAGCTCTGAAGCTTCAGGGTTGAAGATGCTTTTCTCAGGCTTGGGGCTGTGTCAGGCAGCTTTAAATGGCTGGCCCCTTTGTGCTTGTGGAATAGTGGGTCTACTTACAAGCATCACACACACACACACACACACACACACACACACACACACACACACCGCTTTTTTTGATTAGGTTTGGTTTGGTATGGTTTTTGAGACAGGGTTTCTCTTTACAACAGCCCTGGAACTAACTCTGTAGACTAGGCTGGCCTCAAACTGGAGAGATTCACCTGTCTGTTCCTCCTGAGTGCTGGGTTAAAGATGTGTTCCTGGCATTTCCCCCACTTCTACAGTACAGCAAAAGGACTAGGGCACAGCATTTGGAAATCAACTTCTAGACAGATTCATAGGAGAAAGGAAAGGGTAACTTTTACTCACAGGTAAAGCCAAAAGTGGAGATAAATGTGTAACACAAAGTGTTTAATAAGTGAATTAGCAATTGCATAACAAAATAGAGATATTTAGCTGCAAATAATAGTAAATGATCCAAAACATTAAAATGAGAATAATCCAAGGAAGGAACTTTGATTATGACATGGTATTTTGACACAACACAAAGCCTATGGGGACAACTTTAGTGGTCTTAAAAATAACTGCTTCAAAGGTGTTTTATTATAAATTAACATATATCAGATTATCATCAGGATTTTTAAGTAAAAGACTTGGAAGTTTATACATACAGTTGAGAATCTTAACACTATAGATGTTATAGGCAAGAAGGTAGAAGTAAGCATAAGACAGGTGAGAAGGAGGGATCAGGAAGGGTAATACCCCAGACACAGCTAGGGCTTAGCTAAGTAGGAGAGCTATACCACTTATGCTGCAACTACAGACAAAGGTTAGCTCAATTAACATCATCTGTTTACAAGGTATTAACCAATCCCATGCCATCTGCAGGGCTTCTACAGGACCTTCGCACTCTTTTAAATCTACTGTGAAGTATGCGTGATTCAGTAGAAACTATAATAGTTGGTACAGGACCTTCCAAACCCACCCACTGGAAGGGAAGGATGGGACTCATTGTTATGTAAGAGTTCTTTCCTCAGTCAGCTGCCTCAGCTCTCTCATACAGAACAAAACCATAGGAGGAAGTTTCTTTTTAAAGCTCCTAAATAACAAACATAAATGTTATAAAAGTCACACACTAAAACCTCAGGACTGCCTTGCAGGAAAGTCCTTCTAGCCCTCACTCAGACCCTGTGTAAAGTTGGGCACCTTTCTAAAGACTTTAAAAAGTTTGTTCACCAAGGAGATTCCAGGCTACACCTAATGGGATAAGAGGGGGGCGCAGTTTCATTAGGTACAGGCATGTGCCAGCAGTAGGGAGAGCTACCACTAAAAGCAGGACCAAAAACTCAAAAGCATTCCTAATGGACCATTCTCTCCAAGATAAGTTGCCCCAAGAACTATGAAGGCCACTGGTAGAAAAGAGCATATACAATAACTGATCATCTTAAAGGAGCCTCAATAAGGGCAAACTCTAAATCAAAACTCAAAGCCGTTAGGGAGAATAAGGATGGCGAAAAGCAATTTCAGATTATGGGTCAGCTAAAATCACTGCATCAAGATAGATGAAACATTGCTCCCCCAACAGCTTTTTTGTTGCTTCTGAACGTAAATATGATTCCTCCTGCTGTAACTCGGAAGCACTCAGGAAGAACTTCTGTATCTCACAGTAGGTATTCACATTCCCAAATGCTTACTTCATACTGACATAACTATTTTCTCTCAGAGTTTAACAGGCAGAAATCCTCCAAGTAGGTCAATGTTATTTCCCAATTCATTTCCTCAAGGAAAATCTAGAAATCTTTGCTTCATACAGGAGCCTTCGGGATATGAAGTAATCCTTCTGGGATGAAGAAGGACTGGGAGTAAGGTTCAGTGGTATATTGCTTATCTCACTTGTGTGAGGCCTGAGTTCTATCACTAACAGTGGGGGGGTAGATAAAAGTATTTTTCATTTAAATAACAAGAGCTATAATCTTACAATAGGAAACAGACAAACAAGCAACTAGTAACCTGGCAACTGATGCCAATCCCTAAATTTGAGTCATGCCCACAAGCTCCAGTCTAAGTGGGTATATCTAGCTCCACTATGGAACAAGACACAGCACACAATTTCCCCTTATGACATGAAAGTAATACAAATAAAACCTAGGAATATGAGCACCATGGGGAAGGAGCCTTGATAATAGTGACAAGCTCCTGTTATCATAAAACCAAATCAGTTTGAAGGTTGTGGATTGGCCTTTGGGAGGTCTTTGCATAAAATGCATCAAGTGGACTCAAGACATCCTCTAGGTGGAATTGTTAAGAAAGTTCACACCTATAGAATTGATCACCAATACAAAGAACAAGAGGGTGATCAAAACTCAAACATAACCCCCTATGAGAGTGAAAAACAACCCAAAAAAGGAAGTGGCAATTTTGCAAAACAAAGAGAAAGAGGAAGTAGTTGTTATTCCATGAAATCTGGTCACATTCCAGAGGGATCTTCTTCCACACCCACCTGTTAGCTTCATATCCTGAAACCTTGAAGAGGAAAAGTCAACCTGAGCACGTGCAGAAAAATAGCTCTCTGTTGCCCCCTAGTGCTGGCCAGCCTCACCTCTCCTTCTGCTGGAAACTATAAGGTGAGTAGTTCCTCTGCTCTCTACTTAACTTCCTGCTGCCAGCACTCCAAGAGCTAAACATAGCCAGATCCTCTGCCCACAGATTAGGAAACGACTAGGCTATTTTTAGCATCGTGCATCTTAGGAATGAGAATGGCCCAGCCTCAGATGGCACCAGAATGTGTGTGGCCTGGCTTAATGAACTCAACATCTCCTGAGGATGTGAGGCTACCAAGTGGCTGTAGGCAGCTGAAAGCTCTAGGGCACAAAGTGGTGGTAGCACGTGGATAACAAGGGACTGCAAGGAAGGAGCAAGGCTGTGCACAGGTACTGAGGAGTCTGGGAGAGGATAGGACATGGCAGTAAGAAGAGGAAGTGGGGATAGAAGAAGGGCACTGTGCACTGATGTCATGGAGAAGCTGATCCAATAAGAGGCAACATTTGAACTGGACATTTATTTTGTATTAGAAAGGACAAAGGTTGGTTGGATCTGCTTCCTGCCTGGGTATAGGTGGTGTAGTGGCTCCTTTGACCCCTGAGCCCTCTGCATGCCCTATGATTATAGACCAATCACTAGACTGCCCTTTGATCAGTAGTTCAGGAGCCTGCAGATGCCACATGCCATAACATTAGCTAGGGGTAAGGAGCAAGCGCAACAATAAATGGGATACTGTATCCTGGCACAGCTAGGGGTAATGAAGAGTACTTATGTATTTTGGGACTTTGTTTTAAGATGAACACTTTATAGAGTTAAAATCCAGATGTGGGGCCCCGAAGAATCCCCTATACATAGAAAATGTCACAATGCTTGCACTCCATTCTCGTTCTCTAGACGTCACTCACGGACTTCTTACCTGGTTAGTGAAGTGGCATTGTAAGCAGATGACAAAGTAGAAAAACATGTACATTTCTTTTCAAATAGCAGAAAGAGCCGCCACTTGTAAACAGGGTGTTTAATATTCCAGTTTCAGACAGCCTACATTAACATTGTGGTTTCATGTGCAGTATAAAATTTCTATTTACAAAAGAGTCTCAAAAATTACTTCATAATGGCAGATCAAGAGCAAAAGGGTTTAGAAATGGAATGATGTAAATCATATGGGGTTCAGAGGCTAAGCAAATTACACACCCGAAGCTTCCCTGGCCTTATGAAAGAAGCCTTTCTCCAGCTCTGTGCAATCCCAGCCCAGGGGAACTCGCATCTGAAAGTTTTCTAAACATTTCAGGTACACTTGAAAGCTGAAAGTAATTCTCATTTCCTATGCAGGATTAAGTCGTTTCCAACACACACAAAATGGTCATTCACCAACACACGCACAAAAAAAAAAAAAAAAAAAAAAGAAGGGAAAAAAAAAAAAAAACCCACACCACCAAAAGGTGAGATGAGATTTCGGGGCACAAAGACACGTAACAAAAAAAAAAAAAAAAACAGTGCAGGAGAAAACCATCACTGATTTCCCTTGAAAATATCCAAGTAGCCTCTCAGCCGTTTATTATTTGGTGCTAAGAACGCTGATGCCTTTTCTGAACTCTTCATTCTACCCACCCCCCCACACCTGTGTAAAGTCAAACTTGCCACGACTCATTCATTTTTTGTGTTTGTTTGTTTCTTCTTAAATGTGTTCTTTTACTTGTAACTCTGGCCGTAGGCCACGCTGCAATGTGGTCATAGCTGGCTTTTCCAATCGTTCACACAGCCTGAATGTCCTCTCCAAGCTGAGATTGTGGGCACTCCCGTTGCCCGGTGAGTTTTGGAAGTGGCAAACTCCCGGAATCCCCGCCACCCCCCTAAAGTGCACGCGGACTCCCAGGACTCCATCTGCAGAGCCAGAGACGCGACCATCAACTCCAGGGCTAGAGGACCCCACACGCCACCGCACAATGCCAACCCGAACGCACAGAGAGAAGCGGGAAGTGGGAGGAGGGGGCGAGACTCACCGTTCTGCTCCTTGTCGCTGGAGAGCTGCAACTTGCTGCTCAGGTTGGACTCAGCCCGAGTCCCGGTTCTCAGGCCGGCCAGGGCAGATGTCAGCAGGAGGAGGCCGAGGAGGAGCATTTGGCTGACTGGGGCGAGGGCTCACTGGCGGCGGGCACTGGGGAAGCAGCGACTCGGAGGCTCAGCCCAGCCTGGGGAAGGTTGCGCTGCGATGGAAGCGCCTGGCCGGCTCTGGCAGCGGAGAATCGCAGGGTAGTTTCCACATAATCCCATCCAAAACTTTTTCCTAGAGCCCTCTTCTGTGTCTCCAGTTTTTGAAAAGGATCAAAGCAAAACCTGGACCTGAACCAGTTTCCCAAGGTTTAAACAAATCCTGAGCTGTGCCGAAGTGCCTGGGGTGGGGGGGAGGCGAGGGAGGAAAGAGGGGGTGGGGACGCGGAGGAGAGGCGTTGAGTCGTGGCGACTCGCAGGGAGCACCTGTCAGTTTTGGGGGCAGGACGCAGGCGAGGACGCGAGGTCCTGCCGAGTCAGTCTGGAAGCCAGGTCGGCAGCGAGGCGAGCACCTAGGGATCAATGACAAAGCTGAGGATCGGGGCGGCTGGCGGCGCCCCACCCCCACCTGGGGGGAGGGGACCGTGCCCGGCGAGCGCGGCGCGGGTCCCGGGCAGTCAAGGAGGCCGCGGGGGCGACTCAGAGCTGGCCACGAACTACCGGGCAGCCACCTCCTTAGCTGCAGTCGGCAGCCACCGAAGTCCTCCCGGGACAGGATACGCTCTGCAGGAGCCGGGAGACCTAGGGCGGCTCGGAGTCCCGCGCGCTCGCGTGCCTGAGCTGCAGCGGGGCAGGACGCACGGCTGGGGAGCGGTGGCCGCTTTGCACTGGCTGTGCTGGGAAGGCCTGGCGGGCCGGGAGGACCGCGTTTGTCCCCTCCCCGTCTCCACCTTCCCCCAGCGGGCGGCGCGCGGGGCGCGGGGAGGGCGGCCGGGCGGGCTCGGGGGGCGCTGGCCGCCAGCTGGCGGGCCAACAGGTGCTGGCGCAGACAGGGGGTGCTGCGGGGCCCGCGGCAGACGGAGCCCACACTGTGGCGAGGAATGCCGCCAGGAGGCCCCTGCTTCCTTTCCCCTGGGCGCCCCTAACCCCAAATAAGGAGCCTGAGGACTGCTCAAGGGTGCTGGAAAGGCTGAGAGCCGCCTCTGGCTCTCCCTGGCTGTGACTTGTCTTTCATTCCTAAGGGGATCCCCACTCCCAAAGAGCTTTGCTAGGATTCGTGGCCAGACTCCTGAACTGAAGGAGGGTAGTTGAACTCAAGATCCATCTGGATCCCTCCATCTGAAGGGGATTGAAGAAAACAAAAGTGAAGATAGAGTCCAAGTTGTCACATGAATTGATGCCATGCACCAATATATGCAAATGCACCCTGTCAGGCAAGGAACTGGGGTTAGAGGGTGGCATTGAACACAGGAGCCCCTGCACTGTGCAACTGGGTGCTTCATGACAGGTTGCATGAAATCCAATTCCTGAATTGTCTTGGGGCATGGTGTGGCAATTCACATACTGTCCTAGACTGTCCCAGAACCCCCGATGTTTGAACTAGTTGTCTTTATACAAGGCATGCTTTGTGTTAAGACCTAAATGGGTTTGTTCTTAATGGGTTTGTCAGCAGGACTTACAGTGGTTCCATGGGCAGTGCATGTGTCAGTGACAGGATCTAACATGCTCTCCTTATCAAAGGACAGAAAATCCTCATGAAAGTGTTGAAGGCACAAGCAGAATTTGAAAGCTAAACAAAAGGATGCACCTTCTTGGGCAATAAAAAGAAAATGAAACTAAGAAAACTGTAAATAACACATCAAGCAAAAACCTTGATATGCAGTCACATGAGTCACCAAGTCCTTTGTCGAATCAGGCAGTACAAGCACTTGAACCCTAGAACCACAGTAGCAATATTTCTGACACACCGGGCATGGTGCCAGGGAGAGACTACTGGCCCAGCACCATGGTAAAATGTCAAACCTTCATCCTGTTCTTGAACACCTTTGGTGCCTACCACACAGCCCTCTCTGCTAGCCAGGTCTCAGTCCTTGTCTCCCCTCTTCTGACTGGGCACTGGATAGATTGTTCCTTGGGATAACTCCTGTTTGGCATTCAGAAAGTTCTGACTTCCATCCCCAGGACCAAATAAATGAATATGTAGTTCTCCTGTGTAATTTGCAAATGTGTCCCGTTTAGTTCATTCATCCTTATTCTTTGGTTCCTGCCTTCACGGTGCTGGATATAAAGAAGAGGTCCCTCACTTAGACTATAAGAGTATGCATGCTAAAGGTGCAAGCCTTGTTACTTTAATCAAGTTAAGAGAACCTCAGCTTCAGTGTAATTCCATAACACACACAGGACATGGCTCATTACTGTCCAGTCTTTGTAATTTTCTTGATTTTCTGATCAGAGATTTTCTAAATGAGCTCCTTGGTTCTCCATACAGTTGGTGTTCTTGACCACCCACATAGGGTGTGTGTGTGTGTGTGTGTGTGTGTGTGTGTGTGTGTGTGTGTGTTCAGATTTAATCCATTTGCACTCAAGATTGCAAGGGGTGATGACTAAGCTTTATTTTGTATCACTTCAGATTGGCTAGAACAGTGCCTGGCACACTGGGATCATAAATAAACACACTAAACTGACTGACAGCTTTCTTTATTGGACTCACATTCTTCCTGGAATTTCAGAGAGGGTTGTATTTGAAAAGTTACAGATGATCTACAATGAGAGTCCACCTCTGTGTTTCACCTCATCCATATTCTACAGAATGATTTGACAATTGCCTTATAAATAAAGCCAGCCAGGTTCTCCTGAGTGACCCCAAGACAAAATCACATCCACATTGGCTGCTTTCTTTTCAATGTACTCACACAGTTGTTGTTTGAACTGCTCTTGCCCTTGGCAAAGTTCTTTTTAACACTTTGTCCTCTGCTGGTATTTTGTTTCTTTTGCTTTATAACTTTCCCCAGGAAGGTAAAAAACCCTTGCATTGAAAGTCAGTTTTACAAAATCCAGAGTCCTGCAATTACTAAACAATCTATTTTGAATGAATATGGCTTTGTTTTAGCCCAAGGCATTTTCCTTGAGGATAAGCATCCATGCCACCAAATAAGAAAAAAAAAAATCATTGCAAACATTCTTTGTGGTTTTTGTGTTTTTTAGAAGCCATGGGCATGGCAATCATGCAGGATGCATTGGGAGCTAGTGCAATCTATAAATTATGACTGAAAACTGTGGCTGGATGCACTTGACTTCTGGATAGCCATGTGGGGGAGGGGATGACAAGTATCTACAATTTTTTTTTTTTTTTGAAACTTAAATAAGCTTCCTAAGAAGATAGTACACCAGTTAATCCTTAAACAATGGGAATGGGAGAAGGGCAGGGACCATGGAAATGTATGTTTTGCCCAGAAAATCAAATAATACAAATTGTATTAAACTATATTGTGTTTTTCAGGACATACCACAACACACACACACACACACACACACACACACACAATTAGTCTATTATTTTATGACATTACACAGAACTTTTCAGCATTTTAGTTGTAGGCAAATTGAGCAGGAGTTCTTGAAATTCTAAAGTCTTTCTTGTACATAGACTCCTGTCCATCCTGTTTTCAAAAAGTTAGCAGGCAACAATTATACCCACATATGGAAAAGGCTGGGCCCAGGAAATCATTACTAAGCAAAGCAAATGCCACAGACCACAGAGAAATAGTGTTTGTTCTTGGACGTGGAGGGGGGTTAGCAATAAATAAATGAAGCAGTCTGTCTGAAAGCTTTTCTTCCTTCAACCTGTTTTCTCTAACCACCTATATTGATGGTAGAAGCTCTCCTTTAATAATTAATAGTAGTAGTAGTAGTAATAGTGTAGTAGTAGTAAATTATGAAGCTGGACTTGCAATCTAGAAATAACGAAGCACACTTGTTTTTATATTTCCCTCTCCTGGCCTTAGGTATTGCTTCCTCTCAGTGCAGACCAGAAAAGGCTTACCTTCTATGGCAGATGGGAGACACATTTGCTAAGGCTCTTCTCTCCAAGGAATAGAAATGTGTTCATTTTGACTTTGCAATTGGATAAGAGAGTGAAAGGTAAGAAGTTAGATTTGTGTGGTCTAAGACAGGATACATGGGTGACAAGAACAGTTGTTGTTGAAGAGGCCCTCTATGGCCTTTCTCACTGGGGAAGAAAAAAAAAAAAAAAAGCTGCTGTTTCCTTTTGGAAATCATAATGAGTATGCCCATATTTTTGCAAACTGTCAGAAGTGCTTGTCTGACTCAGACTTCAGAGAAAGTAAGCAGTCAGCAACCAGCTCCAAGAAAGAGGAGGCTGGGTGACCTCCTGCCCACAGCAACAGAAGATCACTTCACAAGAAGCTGGGAGATGGTGGGCTGGGGCTGCTTGTACCTCTAACAAACAACACTCCCTCTCCACCTCCTGTTCCTTTTCCTCAGAAATCAATCCTGGATTCTTTCCCAGACCCCTGACTGGTTTCAAATTCTTTGATTCTTTGAATGATTATAGATAATGATGGCAATATATTTTCAACTTTGTGTGCTTTTGTTTTAATGAGTAGCTCAGAGATTTCATAGCCATAGTCTCAGATATCTTCACAGCTGGCTAGAAAATTGCTGAATAGATGCTGCTGCTTAAACTTGCCCAGCCAAAACAAGTCCTACTGAAGGTATTATTATTGTTATGTTTGAGAAGTTTAGAATGATGTTCTACTGATAACGCAAAAGTGGGGAGGAGAATGGAGTTTGGAAATCACTGTCTAGAGTAGGAATCACAGATTTTATTGCATTCAAGGACACTACTAAGCTATATGTGCTGACCACATTTTAATTTTTAATATTTGACTGGTATGACAAGCACTTCAAGCCTCGTCTCACATCTATATCACAGTAAAGTGAAAAAGCTAGCGTAAAAACTGACTTGTAAACAATAAAGAAGTAATATTGTTGTCAGCCAAGAACAGAAAGTTGATCTCAAACTGTTCTATAGAGTCACACTAGTGGAATGTGAAACAATCCACAGAGCAAGAAGTATCCCATAAAAGCATGGACTACAACCCATCACACCTCTTGGCCCCATCCTAGAGTCAGTATGATGTCATTTTTCTCTCCCTTGCAATCATTTGTAGAATATGAAAGCCGTTGTCTCATCGTGACAAATCATAGTAAAGAGGTCAAGTCAGAACCACAAACCCTCTGTTCTCAGACAGTGACCCTCTTATTTCAAAGGTCATGGGAGAAGAGTCCTTGTGCTTTGTGATCATTGTTTCAAGCACAATCCTTTTCTTGGCTACAAGCCTTTGTAGAGGACATAGTCTCAGGTCATTACTTCACAGCAAACATTTAAAAAGTGTTATTGACGTTTGTGTACATTTTAATCTTAAGTATCATATCATATCTCATAAAAACATACAATGACTATGTGAAAATTTAAATGTATGTATGTACAAATATGTATATGTACGTGTGTGAGCGTGTGTGTGTGTGTGTGTGTGTGTGTGTGTGTGTGTGTGTGTGTTGTAAGGGTATTGGCTACCCAACACACACAAAAGGCAACTTTCACAGTAGTGAAAGTACATGGATCTCTCGAAG